ACTTCAACCTGCGGCACCTGTACGTTGGCGCCAGCCGGGCCACCAGCTCCGAGCTGCTGAGCGTGCTGTAAAGCAGACACCAATGGGGGCTTTACATGAGTTCAACATGAGTCGAACATGAGTCCACATGAGCTAAACATGAGTCCAACATGAGCCCACATGAGTTGTACATGAGTCCAACATGAGTCCACATGAGTTGTACATGAGTTGAACATGAGCCCACATGAGTTGTACATGAGTTGAACATGAGCTGTGCATGAGTCCACATGAGTTGTACATGAGTTGTGCAAGAGCTTTACATGAATTCATGAGTAGCAAGGTATTTTGCGATTCGGTCACGGAGTTCGCACCATTGCAACGTGCGGCTGTGCGTTGTTGCGGTTTTTCGTAGTGCTTGAAGTGGATGTGCGTGTTTTCATGTCCCCCGGTTTTGTCGTGTTTTTGGCATGATTTTGGCATGACTCATGGCTGCGCATGGCATGTTTTGCAGGAGCTGTTCTGGTTTTGACAACAGATGCATATCAAAAACTAATGCTGACAGGCAGGGGCCTTCAGTGTTGCAAGTGCTAAGGTTTTTTGGCTGGGTCTTGTGCAAGGAGAGAGATGCTTGCCATGCATCCTTCTGGATCTCGCTGTCCTGGCAGGCGATATCGTGTGTCCTTTGTCAACGCACTCTGCGTGTGGCACCCAGATACTTCTGAACCAGCAGCCAAACCGAAGATAACAGAAGGGAGTCGTGGATCATTGCTCCTTTGATTTCATTCAGTCGCATCTGCTCGAGCCTTCTTGAGGACAGCTGTAGGACGAGCGCAGCCATGGCAAGGACTCCAGCATCGTGCAAGATTGGTCGAGTGCTGGTGCTGCTGGCATTGTTTTGGGCGTGTCAGCCAGGGCCTAAGACAGGCGCTGCTCAGTCAGTGTTAGAGAGTCAGAGAGGATCCTGAGCAGCTTCAGGCAAACCGTGCAGACAGTGCGGGCTGCTGTTGGTGTCCGGGCCGTGCCATTTGCAAGGCGGGATGCGACAGCATGGAGCGGCGAAGAGCATAAAGCCAAGGCCAGGCCTCCTGTGGGCGCGTGGGTGCGTAAGCCGCTCATTGCACGCAGAGCCTTCAAGGCTGGGAAAACTGAGAATAACGTGTTAAGCTCATCCGGACAAACTCAGGCTGATGGCCAACCTGGTGAAGCTGACGACAAGGAAAATGATGAGGCAGGAATGGTTTTGTCGGTTCGGCGTGACACCCCTGCTTTTCTGTCAGGTGAGCAGGTTGGCTGCGGAGCACGATAAAGTTCAAGGCTCCGACGGGACGGAGGTGCCTTGCGCCCTTCTTATGTCGTTTCCTTCAGTCTCTGCCCTGGCTTTCTGAAGCGTCTCTTGTAGGTGATTCTATGGGTCAAATTCTCCATGGGCATCACTAATCGCAAGGTCGGAGATGACGTATGTGGCTGCCTGTTGCGTCTCAAGTACCAATGTGCTCCGAGGAAATCGCAAAGCTTGAAGAGCAACAGTATGCTGGGTCATTTCTGCTGGAGAAGAGCGCGGCAGACTTGGATCAAAAGCTCAAATTGTCAGACGGGCCAAAAGAGATCTTGATAGAGCGCATCAAGAAGCTGAAAGCGGCCGCCGCCGCTCGACTGCACGCCTTGCCGTTGCTTCCGGGCAGCCGCAGTCTGGGAGCAAGCTCAGGCCATCAGAGATGCCAAGGAGAAGCTTGACAATGCAGGCGCTGAGGATGAGGCCCGGGGGCTTCGGAGTGTAGCCGGAAGTCCATAGCACGGGTTGCTCCGGCACAGGATCGGATCAAGATGGTCGGCCGCGGCCTCGGAGTTGTGGGAAAGTTAGCCAGAGGTGGCGGGGACGGCGCTGGCAGGTGACATGCTGTCGGCGCTGGTCGAGATGGATGCCAAAAAAGACCTCTTGAAAGCAGACGCTCGCACACGTTGTGCTATAGAGGGTGCCTGCAGTTCAGCATCCCTGTTTGACTTTCTTTTGGCAACCCAGAAAGCCGAGGCCATCGACGTAGTCAAGATGCAGCTAGGAAATCTACAGGATGGTCAGGCCAGGCTGTTCATTGAAGCTGTCTGTTCATTGAAGTTGTCTCCATAGCACGGGTTGCTCCGGCATAGGATCGGATCAAGATGGTCGGCCGCGGCCTCGGAGTTGTGGGAAAGTTAGCCAGATGTGGCGGGGACGGCGCTGGCAGGTGACATGCTGTCGGCGCTGGTCGAGCTGGATGCAAAGAGTGTGATGAGTTCAGTTCTTCAGGATGCGGATGTCATATCGGTCGCTCGGCCGCACGCTTTATGTCCTTGCCGATCGCAGTCTGAGCTGTGGATGCCGCCTGGCCCAGGTGTTGGAGCAGGCCTGCAACGCAACCAGGAGCGATGTGAAGAGCTACGGGCCAAAGCAAGTAGCTGCATGGATTGCGGCAAAACTGGTTTCTGCCAAGTACGACGCTTCGGCGATCCAACAGGCCAGGGGTGTAAATTTCGTTTGTGCAATCCATTCCTTGTCCTTGTTTGAGGCACTTCGGAAGC